CCCGAGGCGAGAGCTCTCTTACCCACGACCGCGTCCGCCCGAAGACGCGAAGCCAGGAAGAAGCTCCTCCCCGAGGGTCTCCTCTGCATCTTTTGCAAAGACGTCACGGTCGCCATCTTGACTTCCGGTTTCTATGGCAACCGCTGAGCACTGGCTGGTTCGCTCCAGGACCGCCCCCGCACAGCAACCCCCACCAGCTGGCCTTTCTCCAGAAGGACGAGGCCTGGGCTTTTCAGATCTCTTGGTATTTTTCCAGCAGCAGTATGGGAATCGACAATGATCTCCAATTAGAATGTCGCATGAAAAGAGGTTGAAACCTGTGCGCACACCTGAAGAGTAAGAGAACACCGTACAGAAAAAGTTGAAATTTGCTAGGTCACAATAGTAAGATTGGGACTTTATTTTCTTCTCTTGGTAAAAATTCCTCTGAAACTTATTTCCCAAAGCAAAGGTCAAATCGCGGCTCCTATGAGTGGTTTTCTGCATGGCAAACACTCTCCCGTGAGTTCGCTCCAATCGACAAAGACTGCTGTTGAAACATCTCCTTATAGTAGAGACTCATAGTACAGACTCAGCACAAGGCAGGGTTTGCTGGCTGAAAGAGAGATTCGAGCTATCTGCAGACTGAAACACAGAGAGAGAAAAGAAAGGAAATCCAGGCCAGAGTTAAAGGTCATTGGAGTCACAGAAGACAAGGAGTGAGAGCGAGAGCAATAGAGAGAGAGAGAGAGAGAGAGAGAGAGAGAGAGAGAGAGACATGCTGAGGAAATGTGCAGAGGAAAAATGGAATGGGGAAGAGCAGTTCTCCAAAATATCATTGGAGCGTGTTTTCAAAAAATATCAAGCCACGAATTCAAGAAGCTCAATAAAACAGAAGTAGGACACCAGGCGCGCACGCACACATAGGCACATTGTAGTAATATTACTGAGGAATAAAACAAATCAAATGCTGAGACCAGGTGGCCATAATTACATTAACACAAGGAGGAGAATGGGAGGGTGCAAGGAAACCAGATGAATGGAAATGCAACAGCCAGAATGGAAACAGTGAGAATGCACGTGCATTGTATAGAATGTAATCAATGAACAACTTATGGAGAAGGTGTTGGATGGGAACATCAACTAATGTGTAAACCTCCCCTGGCAGCACAATAAGAAACATTAAAATTAAAAGCCCACTGACAGCAAACGAGAGCCAATACAGCTAGTCATTCACTTGCCAATAAAAGCGATGGCGGTCTGAAGACAATCCAGACCCAAACCGAACCACTGCCCTACAGTGGATTCGAACTCATCGAGACCCACAGAAGACAATAAGAATGTCATTCTTCAATGGTGACAAGAAAGGATCACCAACCTAGAATTGTGTCCAAGCAAAAATAAACCCCACAGATAAAAGGGAACAAAAGAATTTCAGACAACCCAAACCAGAATTCATGTTGGACGGATCCACATCAAAAGGCAGAAAGTGTCCAAGCCAAAGAAAAATGATCCTAGACAGAAACAGAGTAAAACTGGGACGAATGAAGATCGGTGCAGCAGGTAAAGGTGTGGGGAAATTCAACTGCATGTTGACTAAAATGGATTAATAATGGTTTCTTTGGGGATTTGATCATGTGTCAAGGTAAGGTGCATTGAAACCCGAATGGAATATTGAGAGATTAAAAACATCGTGAAAATGTCCTGTGGCCCTAACTTTTAACTGGAAAGAGCCAAAATACAGGCGCTGATTATAAACTGGGATGGGTTAAACATGCACATTGTAAAATCTAGGATCACCAAGAAAGGAGTGAAAAGACTATGTGTGACAAGCTAATTGAGGGACAATAGAGCAATGCATTTTAACTAATTGAAAAAAGAAGCGAGTAAATTCGAGAAAAACAGGACCAATGAACATGCAGTACAATATATTCCAGCTTAAATTCGAATGCGCTTGGTTTGGGAAAGGTTTTCGTTTACAGTGGGTGCTTCAAGGATAGAACTGCGTCAAGGTCTTGAGGATCCTGAAAGAATCGTGATGGCAACACTGAACATTACTCAGCACAGAGCAGGAGTTCTGCTACTGGCAAACATGGGATACCAGCGATTAGGTTTCTCATCCCAAATGTAACAATTTAAAAAATGGATGAAAGGCATGAACATTATTGTTCTTAACAGAGATGTGTGCTCATCAGGCAACAGAGGTGGGTGATTCCTGAGGGACTGGAAACAAACAAACGAACAAACAAACCCCATATGGTTGAGAATAAGGGGGGTCAGAGCAGAGATTCCCACCCCTCTGTAGACAGTGGGACATCCCCTCACAGAAGGGTCACAAGGAAGGGATGAGTCAACCAGCGCGCTGTATAGCACTGATGAAAGAAACAGCTAGAACGGATCATGTGCACAGGGACAGGTAAGAGATAAGAGTTCACTCAGGAGGCACCGAGTCCAGGAGCAGGAATGGAGTAGAGATACCAGGAGGGTAGGGGGAAGGTGAGGAGAGGAAGGGAGGAAGGGGGACCCCATCACAATTCTCAACACACA